ACATGCCTAATCCTGTACAGCAAGTAAGTGGAAAAACTGGTATTTGGGTCCAGATCACTTGACTGAGTCAGAAAGTCCTTTCACTATCCAATAATCACAAGTAGATTATTTTAAAATTCATGTAAATGGGACATTATAAAATCTTTCAGTCTTAGGGCATGGGACATTTTGAAGGCTTCTTTATGACTTTATTACAAACCTAGAACTTCCATAACATTATCACTGATTAAATACTCAGAGAATAAATTATATTACGCACTGACTGGTTGCAAAAGCTTGACCCATCTGAGTCACATCAACTTCCTGAGCCTGCTTTTTCAACTCTGAAATTAAGATAATAATAATTATCATACCTATCTCAGAGTATTGTTATGAGGTTCATATGAGGAAATGTTTGTGAAGTATAAAATGATGTGTAAATGTCAATTATCACTATCATTAATATTTTAGGCCCAGATATGTGATTTTATCAGCAGAGAACTACCTCTGTGAAAATCGCTTCTGATGCAGATTGCCAACAATTTTATCATTTAGATTAGTTGCTTGAAGTGACAGAGAAGTTCGCTTATTTGTCCATGGTTGTCCAGCAATTTTGTGTCAGAGGCAAACCTGAATCCAGAGTCTATGGCTAACCATCTATTGACTAATCCAAGGGTTCTTAACCCAAGGTCTATGATGTTGCCTTCTTAAAATATTTTAATAACTGCAGTTTAACATAGCTTCCTTTTTTCCCCAAATTTTATTCAATAGGAAACATATCTCAAGCTTTTATTGAGGAGGCTAACCATGCCCACCACCAAATCCACCTCTAAATCGGAATTCTGTTGCTGACCCAGCCCCAGCCTTGGCCTTCTTGTCAGCACCAAGGGGGAGCAGCATTTTGTTTGCATGTGTCTTTGTCAGCTTCACCCCAAGTAAGCCTGGAAGGTACCTCACCCTCCAGACTTTTGATCATTGGCCTTCCTGTCTCAGAACATGTTCTGCGGAGCATGGCAGGTGAAGGTAATCCCGGAGGTACTGAATGCCCTCATTGGTGAGGTACCAGTAGAAATGCCTCCATGTGAACTGCTCCTTAACATTAGCCACGTGACTTTAGAGACTTCATGGTCTTCATGACATGGAGATTGGGCACATTCTTGTCTGCCAACTCAGGATGTTTTGGCATGTGGACATCCTTCTTGACTACCAATATTCCCACCTTAAAAGGAGTTCATAGAGGGCAATTCTGTTCTTCTTGGGCATCAACATCTTGGCAGCTGTGACAGGTGCTGCTCTAGACGGAGCCCTTAGCTTCCTTTTTAAATATGCATTTTATTTTATGCATTTAAAGACATTGGTCTGAAAAGGGAACAATAGATTTCGCCAGAATCCCTGCACTAAGCCATGTTATCTATTATCATTATCACTACCACAACCATCATAATATTTCTTCTGTACAAAAGCATAGCTTCACAAATTACCTTGATTAGGCAATATGCAAAATGCCAAAAATGAAATCCTGGAAAAATGTGACCTTGGGCAAGTCATTAAACCTTTCTGGGCCTCAGTTTCATCATTTGTAAAATGAGTGAGTTGAAGTAATTGAACTTGGAGCTACTTTCCAAGTTTAGATCTCAAATAGTATTATAATTTTTTTTCTATTAATTGTGCTTTTGTAGGTATGACAGGGAAAATGTTGGATATAAGTGCGATTAAGCATTGCTTTAACTAACTTATGTGCCATGGCACAGTGAAAGTGTTCTGGAGTTGGAAGACTAAGTTTGAATCCTACCTTTTATTGAATGCAAATATCTCACCCCTCTTCTCTCCTTGCCCTACCTCCTATCATTCTACCAGCAGATGACATGATACCATGCCTAATACATTGGTCCCTCCCACTCCCTTTAAAACTATCTTGCTAAACACAGGTGTCTGAATGTCTCCAACAGAGAGCTATAATATCATTTTCAAATATGGGCCACTTATCCTGTTTGAAAGATGAGAATGTGGAGGTGAGACTAGCTGATTTTCTCTTTAGACAAAATGTTAGGTATATAGAACAATTCTCTTTATTATCTCTGCTTATTAGACATATGCATAACTGAATTAACTGTGTTAAAAGGTGAATTTTGTGTTACTTAAAAAGTGTAACATAAGTAGTTATTACATCAGATACATAGATATCCCACATATATTTTTTTACTTGCTTTGCTATGATAATTTTTTTTCTAGACGTACATAACCATCCTCATACACAGGAAGCCTTATTTACTTCTCTTAACTGTTAGTTCACTTGACAGTGGGGCCTACTGAAAGCACTCAGATTTTTTTTTCTTATCTATGTATAAAGCACCTTAAAGGAAATAACTGTGCACACCAAGGCTATTATTTATCAGGTGACAAAAACTTGCTCTCTGGTCCTGTGAGATTCTTTTTTTTCTATTAGGAGACTGCTTTTGGGTAACCACCAATCTTATTCTGTTTAAAGATAAAAAAATGGGAAGACCTTATACCTAGCATTTACCTTATGCTAGATAGAGAGGAATTGGAAACCCTTACCAATCCAACAATGTAGACATTGTTTTTTTCCTGCATAGCTATTGCTATGTTTCTCTGTACTTAATGTCACTTCAACTTTGGAGGTAGAACAGCATGTTCAATTTCACCAGTTGCTGATGACCTAGAAAGCAGTTCAAAATAAGTTGACCTTAGTGCCTGACTGCCCTTGATTATTATGCTGGAACCGAAGTAATATGGTACTATTTAATTATTATAACTATTTGAAAAATGAGATGTGGGTAGGAGGTGGGTTGTGTTCTAGAGAATAGCCCTACTTGTAGTATGCAATATGCTAATTCTTTACATTTATTAGGTTTGTCTTGATAACAGTGTCCATTTCATACAATCATGAAGCAAAGGTTGCTTTGTTACAGGTGTGTGACATTATTAATTTCCAGCCTGACCAAGTGGGGTCAAAACAGGTGATAGCAGCCCCTGAATTTTGAAAGAGTTAGACAAAATCACACAATAGAGGATTTTTCTGACACAAGGTAAATTCTTGATTAACTTAATCCTGTTTTTATATATTCATATCAGGAAAAAGTCAGAGTGAGCGGCCACTTATTATTTTTAAAGAATGAATATACCCTAGAGTATAATTTAGTATTGCAAAACAATTGTCTGAAGAGAGAAGTTTTCATAACTTTTGCTGTTTTCTCTTGCAAGAACCTTAATGGCATCTATATTGTTTGAGGTACCCATCACCCAGATTGTTAGGGAAAGGAATGATCTTTTCTTTAGCACCTTTTTGTCTTTGTTTTTCTTTCAACAAAAATAGTTTTAAACTAATTCTTTTTGGTCTTTTCCCTCTAAGAACTTGTCAAGCTGCAGAGACATTGCAATAATTGATCTGCAAAGTTGTACTTTCCATTTTTTTTTGCTTGTGTCAGATTCCTTTTCACTCCCATAAATGAATAGTGGCATCCCTATCCCCCCAATATACTTTCTACTTTTTCATTAACTATATGTTCTATTATACTTCAGAATTGCAAATCAGAAAATATTATTTTAAAGGATTTTGAATCTTTTGCAATATGTTTAATGCATTAATTTTGAGCAGTAAAATCATATGCCATGAAGATGCAGTTTTGCTAATTATCTATTTCTTAGTCATTTCCAATATTGTACCCAAACCTGAAGTTCTCACTGGGATAAAACATTCCTTCAAATCATTTTTTTTTCTAAATGATTAAATAAAACTGGAACATTAGACTTACTAATATTTTACTAATTATACATTAAACTTAAGATGTCATTAACCTTAAACATAAGCACAGGCAAATCATACAGCTGCATACTAAAAGCATGTTTCAAGACTTAACAGAATCTTCATTAAAAACAAAAAAAAATAAATTCTCTTTAAAAGTGAAAGCTAACCAGTTGTAAAACATTAAAAGTATAGCTCCTCCTACTCAGGCCTCCCAAGCATCTTTCGATATGTAAAGGAGCACAAACTCTTTGCTGGGTCAGTAAAGCCAGTAGATGAATTTTGTATGAAGAAATATGTATGAAAAATTCTGTATGAATACTAAATTGCATGAGAGAAAATTTCCATAGAGAGTGTGCTACTGGGCTGCCAGGTGTGGTTTTGGGGAGTAGTGGAAATATTTGATTTAGGACTGAATTTAGTTAATTGTGTGTGGTAACATCTAGGTCTTCCTAAATTCCATAGAGAGTGCTGTAAGTCAGGTCTTCCATCTAGATATCTTTCTGTGGAGTAAACGTGTGTGAGTGTTAATGTATTTATTTATGTCAGGTTTGTGTTTATGTCTATTTGTGGGAACATTTACCTCAGTGCAGTTTTGTGGGCATTGGTGTGTGGTTGATATGTTTGCGTGTGTGTATGAGTATGAATTAATTACATATTGAAAACATCTGCATTAGCGGCTTCTGCAGTCCTAGCTCCTCCAGTTGGGATGTTCAGCTCTGTGTTAGGACCACTCGGAAGACCTGCCTGCCTGTCGGACGCCTGATCGTGGTTCCCAAGAGGTTGGAGCTCTGGGAGCCTGTACCATCTCTATTCGAAGGGGAGGAGAGAAGAAAAACAGAAGTCATCTGGGGTAGGGGTGGGGGTGGGGTGGGTCTTCTTTTTCTAAGCTGGGTGAGGGCATTCGGCATCGGGGGCGTGCAACAAAAAAAAAGATTACCAAGGGATTCTCCCAACTTCAGCACCACGGACAGCTCGGCTTTCCAAGGCTTGCTGGAGAGGGCCAGCTTCCTTATCCTTCCCTCTGCCCAAAGCCTAAGACTCAGGCCCTTCGGCTTCATTCTCTTCTGATGTTTTGCTTCAAAGCGAGGCAAAGGGAGGAGAGAAGGGTCCTGACAACCGGAGGGGTACAGTAAGGGGGAGGAAGAGGAGGAGGAGCCTGGGAGGAGATAGGAGAAGGAGAGAGAAGGGAGGGGTTTTCCCACCCACCCCCCTTCCCCTAGCTTGGGTTTGCAGGAGCCTATGCTTGCTGCTGCTACTGCTGCTGCTGACGGCGGCAGTGTTTCCTCCTCCTCTAGCTGCTGCTGCTGCTGCTGCTCCCACTGCTGGGGGAGAATGAGGAATCCTGGGGAAGGGGAGAGCTGAAGCGGTACTGTCTGTCTGCCTGAGGGAGAGAGCATGTGTGTTTAGCTGTGTGTACGTGGCTAGAACACTACATACATCACATATATATGCATACATATATATATATATATATATCTGAGCTGAGGGGTTATTTGAAACCTTTATTGGTTGCGCTGCTCAGTGGAGAGAGAAACGCTCTCCTGCAGTGGTAGAAGCAGCACAGGCAGCGGCACCACTATCCCTCTCTCCCCTCTTTTTTTTTCTTCTTCTTTTGCATCCTCTTTTTCTTCTCCACACTTCCTTCTGTGGTTTTCGGAGGAAGGACGAGGGTGCTTGTTGGGTTCCCCCCACCCTCCTCCTTCTTTTGACAAATTCCTTCCTCATGACATTACACCGGCTTGTTGCGAAAGAGGCAAATACCCATCACTGAGGGAGAGAGGACTCACTCTACTGCTCCGAGCCCGAGAGACTAGAGACTGGAGAAGAAGCGGGGAAACGAAGAGGAAGGGGGCTTGGATTCTTCCTTTATCTGGGAGCAACGCACCTTCCTACAAGAACAAAACAGACAGACAGAGAAGTGGAGGGACCTTTGTCACGGCTATTCTGCAGTGAGCACTGGTAGTAGAAGGAGGGAAGGATGGTTATGGTCTCGCGAACGGGCTGCGGGGCAGCTGTTTTCCTTTGGATTTTGAGCAGCATCAGCTGCAGAGCCTGGACAGCTTCTTCTACTTCCCGTAAGTAGCTCCGTTGCTTCTTTCCTGGTGGTTTTTTAACCTGAAGGGTTTCTGTGTCGCATTGATGTTATTCCACCCTGTGTACCAACTCCAGAGTGCGTCTGCCGTTCTTTTTCCTTGATTTGTGTATGTGTCTTTGCTGTCACGCACTTGCAGTCACTGCAGCAGAGAAACTCCAAAACCCAGCGCTCCAGCTTTGGAGGGGGAAGTGGTTTTGACTGTGGTGATGTTGCTGGAAAGTTGGTCCTGGCATTAGAGAGATAATTCACTGCACCTGCTTGGTTCTAGTGGCGGTAGTTTGGAAGACAGATGCTTGGAAGTTCTCCCTCCACTTCCTTGCTTTTTTATACATCAATGGCTTATTGAAATTGGCTTTGATAGCCCATGTAAAGAAAAGTGAAATCCAAAGCGAGTTGGTATTTAGGCATTTACATTTTTACTAAGGATTTACTTTGATATGGTCAGAACACAAGTTTGTAGAGTGCAGTTTAGATTACCCAGGACATCTTCTACTTCAGTTTTCTTCTAAATAAAACTTCATGCCCCTTAGGGATTTCCTTGTTAAGACTGAAGATAGTGAAAATAAAGACACTAGCTTGAATTGCTGTAACTTATTTGCACAGCTTGTAGCCAATGCATCACAGGCTTGCAACTCAGGGCAGGGATATAGTTTTTCTTTTTTTCTTTCTTTCTTTCTTTCTTTCTTTCTTTCTTTCTTTCTTTCTTTCTTTCTTTCTTTCTTTCTTTCTTTCTTTCTTTCTTTCTTTCTTTCTTTCTTTCTCTATAATGTTATGTTGCACGAGTTTCTTAGAAAGGCTTTCAGGTAGATGCCACTGCTGTATGTATGCCTCTAGGTTAGCCAGCCAACATAGACTGCTCATCTTTTTCATTACATTGGAATAAAATGGAACACAGCAACTCAAGTTCTGCATTGCTTTGCTAGAGCATACTGCACCGAAAAAGAAGTGGCATTGGCTCTCCTTTTGTTTCAGGAAGAGTTCAGTGCACCAGTCATTTTATTGTCTGGGTCAAGTTTCTAGATTTAAAGGGACCTTAGGGAAATTTATGTGTCTAAAATATAGAATCAGAATTATTAATAATTAGAAATCTGGAATCTTAAAAAGGTTTTTTTTAATTTGGAAAAAAAAGTTGATCTGATTTCCTCTATTTACCATACAAATGTGTTAATATACCTCCTCTGTGTTTATTACTGTAATGTTTGTAATGTTCAGTGATGATGCATTACAATAATATTTGTAAAGTTTATGTATGTCTACATGCTGATTACCAATTTTAATTTTTCTTGATTGACAATGAATATCCTGAGAAATATAGGACTGTATGAGAAACCACACTGCATTAAAAGAATCTATAATAATGTCATGTTTTGAATTAATCCATTTTCTTTTTTGATTGACACAGATTATATAGCCTTTTGTGAAAACTATAGTTGTGTTTTTTCTATTTGGTTTTGTTACAGGGATAATATACAATATTTTAAGGTAATCACCAAGTTATCAATTTAATTGCCTAAGTTGAGAAAAAGTTTTGCAAAGTTTTTGTTAAAAATAGAACTTAAAAGTGAATATGGCCTATTTCTACTTTATAACAGTTTTGGTAGAATTTTACAGAAAGTGTGAACATGTGTGATTTTCAAAGTCTATTTCTCTGTTGAAATAAAATTAGAGCACTAAACTAATGCAATTTACAAGGTAAAATGTTCAAATTATTTCATATTCCGGCATTCATCCAGATAATAATGTTAGTTGTAATTGTACATTGTGGGATTTTTCCAAACATTAGCTAGTTATGATTTGGAATATTTCAAATCTATTTTCTATGTTGGGCCAAACTTACTAAGTTTTCTCAGGCTTTTGGATATAGCTTTCTATATCTATCAGTGGTTATGAGTAAATAGGAAACTCCTTCCTAAGTCAAAAATGGAATGAGAACTAACGTTTTAGTCCCTTTGACATCTAACTTATTCATTATATGAGTTCACATAACTATAAGATGAGAATATTATTATGAGAAAACTCATACTTTATATTTTACATTTAGTCCAAATCTGACATTCAATTTGTTAATCTATTCACATATTGAAAGTATTGCTTATTTTTGGACTTAAAAGGAAAGCCTATGTGCCTGCATGGTATCTCTATTTCTTTTACTTTTATTTGCCATAGTTCATATATAATGGCTTGATAAAAGCAACTTTTTTTCAGTTGAATTAAAGATATCATCTCCAAAAAGACATTTTTTCAGAAGTCAGTATGAAAAGTAAAATAATTTCCTGAATATATAGCTAATACTTCACACTTTCTCGACCTGCACATTTACATCTCCAAAATTATGTTTAAAATTGTGTACTACTGTTACACTATGCAGAATGTGCCTTTGAGAGTTAGTACACTGGATGTAGAATAAAATATTGCTAACTACTTGAATAAAGGATAATGAACAACTCAACCAGGAGAGGTCATCAGAAGACAAAAAGTAACATGGAAAAATATAAGTTTAATATTTTTATTCTGTTTCTACTTTCCAATCATGAAGCATGATAGTTGCACTAATACAATATCTTAGGCCCAATAACTTTGGAATATAATATATAAGAATGTTTAGCTACTTATTTCTGAGAAAATAGGAAACTATTTGAAAGTTTTTTCCTAGTGTGAGTTGATTTTCTTCCTAGTTATATGTAAATATATTGAGTATTGTCACTCCTCTCAGTGTTGCATTTTCCTTAATTAATAACATTTTGAATATACTTAACTAAGTCCAATTCCATTGTTAAGATTTTTTTGTTCATTTTTAATGATGAATTATATAAATCTGACTGGGTCTATCTATTCAGTTTTCTTCCTTATATATAGACAGATTGTATGTATGAACATAGATAAAGCATTTAAATTTTATAGACTTTAGTTAAAGGATTTGAACATTCTTTCAAAGACTGCAACTATGAAGTTCAAAGTGAAGTTGTGCCCTTACTAAGTCACTTTTATAAATTCTCAAAGTAGGCTGTTTTATCTAGTTTTACTGACAAAATTGATCACATTATTCTAATAATGGCCGGTTCTCCAGGTTACTTTGTATTGTGTAGAGGCGCTAGAGTAGAATTTAAGTGATGGCATGAAGTACTTGTGAATATTTATGCAGTATAATTTGTTCAAAGTCTCTATATTTTGACACATTTCTCTGTGTGTGTGTGTGTGTGTGTGTGTGTGTGTGTGTGTGTGTGTGTGTAAGAGAGAGAGAAAGAGACAGAAACAGAGAGAGAGAGAGACTTTAATATGCAGGGAAATTTGAGAAAATTTCAAGTAGATAGTTATAGTTTCTAGCAACTTTCAAGTAATTCAAGGACTAATTTTATAGTCACCTTGTATCTGGTTCATTTCCCTTCTTTTCTAACTACTCCTCATCCTTAAATAATGACTCTGAAAAGAATAAATCAAAGCACACAATGTAAAAAACTAATATGAAAATAAATGTTGTGAATTCATCTTGAGCTTGAGCTCAGTAATGGTCCTTCCTTGTTGAAAGAGAACATTTAAACACAGTGCAGTATTTTATTCTGGGTGAATTAACTGGTTGATAACAGGCAGCACTTTATTTACTCACTCCAGACCATACAGGAAAATTTTTATTTAATTATTAGAAACAAATGTGTGATCCTGGTGTCATTATAACCACTTCCACCCAGAAGAAAGGATTCTCTCTCTAGAGAATTTGGTCATTTCCTCTCAATATCTTTAGATAGTTGAATATTTTTAATTCTTGGTTTTGCTACATTTATTTTGTATTTAAATATTTGAAAATTTTATTACATGTCATTTAATTTGTCCTGTGATGTCCAAACTATGCAAGACATCAATTCGTGTCTTCTATAAGAGTTCTTTCCTTTGACTTCCAGGCATGTTTTCAGATCCACACTGTTATTTCTTGCTTGCATATTTCTTGTAATGAAGAATAATGTGTGTGTGTGTGTGTGTGTGTGTGTGTGTGTGTGTGTGTGTTGAGGAAAATTTCCATAGTTCTTATAAGTTGAATTCATAGGTATTTTTGTCTTATAAAATTTCAAAGTTAAGAACCCTTAAGGCCCCTAGGGGGCAGGCATACTAACTGATATTCAAAAATTTTCTTGAATACTTCCCCTCCCTACATCTGAGGTAGGTTTGTACAGATGTTACTGTAATAGGACTATAAACCTGGGGATGTCTATAAGTTTATTTTTTACTGAAATGAAACTGTGCTCTCATTTTAAATATTAATTACAATAGGTTTATGTCTTCCATAGAAACCATTTCCCTCATAGGCTTATCAGATTCAATAGAATAAAGACAAATAATATATAATTTCAATATTTTCCCCTTTAGTGCTGATTCATTGTGCTTTGAGTTTTATTTTATTACTTCTCACTAGTTGAAGGCTCTAACAATAGAAAGCATTTGTTGATGCAATTTAAACTTCAGAACTACATTGTTAAATGAAATAAGTCGAGTGCCATACTGATTCTTCTAGGCCATCTGTACTTTGAATTGGGTGTTGATATTTCCAGAAAAATGAAAATTGTAAGAGCAAATAGTTGTCAAAAAACACAAGACAAAAGATTCAGATTACTTAGGATTCACCCGAGGGAAGAAATGAGGAGGGATATATACATGGTATAGCCCATGAATGTGAGAAAAGGGAAATGAATCATTAAATAACCTTTAGTTCTTCAATATTAAATTAAAAATGAAGCATTCATATAATACTAGTATGTTTATATTAAAAAAATAAGGAGATATTCTACTTCGTAAAGGAGTACATTTATTCTAATTAGAAAAATCCTATAATTAATTAATCTGAATACCAATTCCAATATTTCCCTTGACTTCTCTAGAAGACTCAACATGTTTTAACTTGGCTTCTGCCATCAAAGGTCTTTTTAATATAGTTAAGTGGAACCTTATAGGTGGTATATCTGCAGATGTTCTCAGTGACTTAGCACTTTC